CCTAGGGTTCTAAGGAACTCCTATTCCAAAGGGGCCATTTGTAGCATGAGTTGAAGTCAAAAAACACTTAGCATGTCTACTAGTCCACGAGGCATCTAACTTGCGTGCATAATGCAAATTATTGCAATCTAGTGCCGAATTTCAGCGAAAAAAATGCCAAAAAAAGACGAAATAGTGCAACGGTGAACAATCGCGGAGGCTTACTGTTGTACGCCACCTTTACTCACCCCATTAACCCCAATTAACGGGCTAAACAATCTAGCATCGCTGCGCCGCGAGGGTAAACAAACTGCAGCCCCCATCCCGGCGTCACCCGCATCTATTTACGGCATCTACTTACACGGTCTTCGATCTTGCGTGGATGAGGAGGACACGCAATGCGATGAGAGGTACGCGCGCGAGAGACGTATGCGCCATGATTTACACCTTGCTGCCCGGGTGCAACATGTTCTGCTAGCATCTATGACAAATACGACATACGCATATACGCACTCCTATGAAACTATTTGTCATAGGAAGATTCTTCCTATGACAAATATTGGCGAGTCAACTTCGTCCCCCTTTACAGCAGAAATTCACTGCTTGCGTTCATAATAGCGCTCCTAAACTCCTATGATGCGCACAACACATACAACAATATTTGTCATAGGAAGAATATTCCTATGACAAATAGTGTCATAGGAGAGCGTATGTCGTATTTGTCATAGATGCTAGCAGAACAGGCTGTCCGGGTGTCATAAACAATTGTCTATCGCGTAGTGGTTACGGCCGACGCTATTTGTTGGAATCATGAAATAATGGAGGGCGTGCATAATAAGGGGGTGCATAATAAGGGAGTGCATTTCCAGCGTGCGGAAACAACGTTGTTAATTGTTATTTAGCCACAATTTCGCGATGCTGAGTGGTTTCCGCTGTACCTACACCTTACATGATGCAACCATCCGTTATTAGGGGGTTAATTAACAATACGTTATTAGGGAAATAATAACCATTCGTTATTGCGGAAGTAATGACAATGCTATCATCGGATAGTTACAATTTCGGCGCCCGCCCGTCACACATCTACCGTTGTCTATTCGCTCTTATATTTAGTTTTAGCCGCTGTCGTTTTCTCTGCTTGAAAGGGCAATGTGTCATGTGTGTAATTGCGTCTGCTCACGTTAATTCGTACGTGTATGGCAAGCATTTTGTATCATAATTCGAGAAACCACGGTTCCTCGCACGAAACCAGAGGCGTTTTTATCGAAGCGAAAGCGCTTTACGGTTTTGCAAATCTTCCATTTATCTAGACGGTTTCGTGAAAGCGCTTTGGTCGTTTCTCGTTTTTATCTAGACGGTTTGCGAAAGTGCTTTGCGAAACCATCGAAACCGCCCGGCGAGCGATTTCAGAGGGTTTTAACATTCAATATGTCGGATAGTCAAACGTAAGTTATTAAGTAGTTTTCTTAATAAATGATTATATAAGAATAATAAGTTAATGTGTTATAAAAAACGTACAAAGATCAGCTAAATCCTAACCAAATGGTCTGCCATCTTGCGTTGTTTTTATGTAACAAAAGCGCTTTCACCAAACCGCTGATCACGTGATTTAGGAAACCGATTTACCGGTTTCTCTTCGATAAAAACGCCTCAGGTTTCGTGCTCACAAAACCTAGGTTTGCTAAGCTAGAGGCGTTTTTATCGAAGCGAAACCGGTAAATCGGTTTCCTAAATCACGTGATCAGCGGTTTGGTGAAAACGCTTTTGTTACATAAAAACAACGCAAGATGGCAGACCATTTGGTTAGGATTTAGCTGATCTTTGTACGTTTTTATAACACATTAACTTATTATTCTTATATAATCATTTATTAAGAAAACTACTTAATAACTTACGTTTGACTATCCGCCATATTGAATGTTGAAATCGTCTGAAATCGCTCGCTGGGCGATTTCGAAGGTTTCGCAAAGCACTTTCGCAAACCGTCTAGATAAAACGAGAAAACGAGGTATATAGCAGAAAAAACGAGAAAAAACGAGAAACGACCAAACCGCTTTCACGAACCGCTTTCACGAAGCGCTTTCATGAATCTATAAATGGAATCTATCCATCTAACGAATCTATAAATGGAAGATTTGCGAAACTGTAAAGCGCTTTCGCTTCGATAACAACGCCTCTGGTTTCTTGAGAAAGGAAACTAGGTTTTGTGAGCACGAAACATGCTGGTTTCGTGCGAGGAACCGTGTTTTCTGGAATTATGATACAAAATGCTTGCCATATACGTGCATGACCGCGCGTGAGTGCGTGCGCGCACGTCTGCCCATGTTTTGGTCTGTACGAAACGCCAGCGAAATATTAAACCGTTGCAAAGACATAGATTTCAAACTTCTATAATGTGTAATTGTTTATGTGAAAATAAATGTTTGAGATGTGAAAGTCTGAGATGTGGGCGAGTGATGGCGTTACACTTAAATGATCGCCATTTAACGTTTTTATAATATTAAGATTTAGACACTGCCTAAAGGCGGAGCTCCCGATGTGTAACGTGTAAGATTGAGAGGATACTCTTATTCTACGTAGCTGCTATATACCACGTGACAATGGTGTTTCCCTGCCCATAACACAACTTTTGTCAAAGGTTAATTGGTTGAATGGAAGTGTTTACTTCGTATGAGTTTTTCTAGGCGGTAGCACACGGTTGCCATCGGTATATCGCAATAATAATTTGTAAACCAAAATGAATCACAATTTGTGACTGTAGATGGCGCTATACCCGCTTTGATGTTTCTTAGCGATGGCGTTCGAAATAAATAGGTTATGCTGCGTTCCGACATGTTTTGTAAAACTTTACTCTAATATAGACGTTTTATCGGCAGGGTGGAAAGGAAATACCAATTTTGCATTAAAGATATTGTCAACAAAATCTTGTAAAACAAACCAAACGCGTGTGACACCACAGACTGGTATCTGCGGGTCTATATAATATGCTATATAATTGCCAAAACCTACCTAATTTGCAGAAATTGGGTATAGTTGTTACTGCTATGGGAGAGGTTTGAACGTCCTATTTTGGAGCACGCCAGTCGACGTACTTTCGAGCCACGGCAATTTTTTGGCCAAAATGGAAATTGCCATTAGTCAGTTCAGGTTCAACGGATTTTGCTCATTTTTGGTATGTGAATGAATAAGGGCTGGCCCCAAAACGTATTACAGGGGTTTTGATATTTAAAAAAATAAAATAAAAAACATGTGAGTCAAACGGTTCCTGAGTTATCGTTGACCGTAGCCAAATGTTGACGGAAGGACGGACAGACGTACGACTACCCATGGCAATAGCTCATCTTGACGATGTCAAGGTAAGCTAAAAATTAACTTGAAGACAGCAAAAATCTTTCATCATGAGCTGCTTCTAATTTTTAAAATTATATTCTTTAAAACTTCAGATTATTAATAAGAAAAGTTGGTATATAGGAAGATTAAAACTCATTTTACCGAGTTTTAAATAACGATAATGTTGTAAACAATGCTGCTGTTCTTCATTACTCTGAACTGACTCTAGTAACTACATAATGAAATATTTGTTATATTATACCTGAAGACAAATGCTTTCTATCTGCCTGTCCCAAAGAGGCAATGTCTCCCGAGCCTCAAAGTGAACAATTCCATCTAGCTGATCAATGGAACCATTCATTCGTCCTTCTGTAATCATCTGCGAAGCAATCTTCTCAGCCTATAGATGAGACAGAATATATTATAGTAGAGTGCACAGAAGTGCCTAACCTCGAACTTGGTTTACATATTTAATATTGTGGATTTACACCCACCGACTACAATATTCAAAGCTTTACTCCATGTTTATATTGCGCTATTAAGCAGTGATTCAACTTTTTTGGCATGCTCATCACAGAGATATGTGTGAGATAACAGGGATTGCACTAAAACACACATTAACAAGTGCCGCAGAGCGACAGTGCTCAACTGACGTGTACTGTGGCCAGGTATTCTTCTGATAAACTCACTGGCAACCGAATCAAGTGCGCCCTCCCGTCACCGCGTTCGCGTGATCAGAGCATATATCTAGGATACTTACTAGATCCAGAATTATAAATCTATGATAGGCTTTTCTTGCTTATACCTACCTGGTAGTGACAGTAATAAAGATATCAGCTGGTAACTTTAATGAACTTAGCTATACTTAACATGTTACATGGAAATGCGTCAAGCGCCGAGCGTAGTGGTGGTGTGGGGGAGGGTGGGGGAGGGTTTGGGGCGGGGGAGTCCTACATAGCAAAGCACGTTCAGTCCTTTGTTAACCAGTCAACAAAATCCATGGTTTAACGCCTCCTTTGAGGGTCAAAAGGTTTTTATCAGAGCAGCTTTACTCTTCGCACGTCAGCAGAAAGTACACTTTCACTGGTCCTTTCAATAAGAGTCGATAAAAATGTAGGTCAGCGCTGAAACAAAAAAGTTTTTGCACGATCGGTTCCGTGTAGAGCCATGTCCCTCTAGAAATGTTCCTGAATATCTGAACCTTTTTCCCCACCTGCCACTTTTGATCAAGCTGTGACCTCCCATTTCGAACTGGTGATGGGTTTTCTTCCGCCATCTACACATACATCGGAATATTACAAGCGTAGGTCCGTAGCCGTTGAGATTTTGTCTGGCATTCCGTATGTTCGCTCATATACTAAGTTTAAGGGGGAAAATATTCGCCTCCTTTGACACATCTGACCTTTTCTTGTGCCCCCCTATAATTTCGACATCCCAGAGTCTTTGCTGCGATTCCCCCGACTCCGAATTCAAGACCGTACGTCCGACGTTTAAGATTTTGTGCCGTAACTGTTGAACACAACGGCACGGACATTCATGCGAATTCTACAAGCTGGCATCTGCCTGCAATCAAGCTGAGCTAAAAACACGTGCTAATAATGGCAAGTAGTTATGAAGATTGCTTGGCTAGGAGTACATTCCCTTTGTGCAGGAATCTCCAGCAAGGCCCAAGTTCCTCGCAAATGTAATGTTGTTGTAGACGACTTACTCGAAGAAGCCAAGTTGTGCTTCTATCACAGCTCTGTCTTAAGATACCCTAGAACCTACCCGTTTGTACTTGAGAAACATATTTATTTAATGACTAGAATCAACCTTCTTGCAGTGCACCAGTGAGTCTGATAATCCACGAGTGACCTTTCATAAAGACAAAGCAACATCCATAACACATAATGGTATTTTGATATGTTATAAAGCAAATATCCGATGGAAAACATCATTTTGGTAATGATTAAACCTATAACCAGTGGCCTAAATTAATTAACACTAGTGGTATTCAACTTTAACAAATTACAGTTTCTTATATTAACCATACAATAGTTATGAAAGAACGTCTGACTAGTAGAAAAGGGTGACCAATGTTAATATTTACCATCTGCAGTTGGTGCCTCTTCCTGATGTGGGTGAAGCATTCCCTGCAAACTCTTTTTTACTTTAACCTGCTATGATCCTCTCTAAACTACCTAAATTAGCAGAAATACTCATCAATTCCTCTTGTTACAATTATGGAAGGTGGTGGGACGATTCCATCCGATATATCGATGAACACCGCGACACAACCCGCTTTGATGATACCATGTATCGGACACTCAACTGTCTAAATCTTCAATATTATTAGTAAGCGTAGTTTCGATCAAACAAGTTGCCCTAGAGCGACATTGCTCATCTGACCTGTCTGTGCCAGTGCTAAAAAAAGAAAAGGGGGATGTTTGAACAGTCAGCTGAAAACTCCTTTCTTAATTCATTTGTCCTCAGTCCCTTACTAGTGCCTCAGAAGCAACACTCTCACAATGAGAGAGGAAACGGAGAGAGAGAGAGAGACGGGGTAATAGCGAGCAGCGAGGGAGAGAGAGAGAGGATGAGCAGAGGGTTCTAGGAGTACCTCGCTATAGGATTATCCACATACTCCCTGCTTTTTGTCAAGTCAGGAATTATCCATCTTAATCGTATTCAGTCTTTGATGGACAAAATCCTAAAAATCCTCCACCAATTAGGCGATTGCATAATTGACAAACTTTATTTACATACTTTGTTTTGTGCATTAGTAATGGCCGGTGTAATGAGTAATGATGTAGTAAGAAACTCGTTTTTTAATTGTGGAGTAATGTTGTTTGTACATCAATCGGCTATGCAAAATGCAGGCTGGTTACACAAATTTATGCATGCTTTTGATGAATAGTAAATAACCGCACACATGGTTGTTTTTGCTGTT